TGTTATTAATAATAATAATAAGAAAAAGTAGTACAGGCTTAATTTATTTAGCATTCCTCTCAAACCCATAGAAACATGGATCATGTTCAACCAGTCACACATTTTGTGGTGAACAATCAATTCGATTATTATGCACAAATATACACAAAACACAGTTAACAATATTTACAACTTAACAGCTGCAAACACATTTCAACAGAATTTACATTTCAACAGTATTTACAGTTATGAGTAACAGTATTTATAAACATGATTTAACAGTATTTACAATTTATCAATATTTATAAACATGATTTAACAGTATTTATAATTTAGCAGTATTTAAAAACACAATTTAACAGTATTTACAATTTAACAATATTTATAAACACAATTTAACAGTATTTATAATTTAGCAGTATTTATAAACATAATTTAACAGTATTTACAATTTAACAGTATTTATAAACACAATTTAACAATATTTATAAACACAATTTAACAGTATTTACAATTTAACAGTATTTATAAACACAATTTAACAGTATTTATAAACACAATTTAACAGTATTTAAAAACACAATTTAACAGTATTTACAATTTAGCAGGATTTATAAACACAGTTTAACATTATTTATAATTTAACAGTTTAAAAACACAATTTAACTGTATTTACTAATTAACAGTATTTAACAATCAGAATTTTACAGCATTCATATTTAGTTTATTTCCCCCACACAGTGAATGATATTTGAGTATTTACTGTCATAATGTAACAGTATTTACAATCACAGTGTTACTGTAACTGCAGGTACACTACTGTACGTACACTGTCTCAGTATCTGCCTGTAATTGACTTAACATAAGCACAAATGGCTCTTACAGAATATTTCACTGATTGAATTTCACTGATTAAATCCCTGTTCACCCCCCACTCTGGGGTAATGGTATTTGCCCTCAGTGAGGGCGGACTGTTCCACTTTCTGTCCCGGGGGAGTTTAGAGCAGGTGTTAGATAATGGCTCCAGAGGGTAGACTAAACTAAGGGGCGTGTGTGTGTGTGTGTGTGTGTGTGTACATATATGTGTGTGTGTGTGTGTATACACTTCTCTGTTTTTAGTGTGACAGACAGGATCTGTCTTTGTCCCTCTTGCGTTCAGTCTGTGTCCAGTCTGTGTCCAGTCTGTTTTGTCAGTGCTCTTATTTTTTGTTTTGTTTTTATTAAAACGTTCTGTTGACTTTTGACAAGAGAATGAAAAAATTACAGGGATAGTTCAGCCAAAAATATTACCCAGGTGTCCCTACCCTGCTGAAAAAAAGCAGTACAAGCATTTCATGCTGGTTTAAGCTGGTCTGTGCTGGTCTGGTGCTGGTTTAGTTGGTCACCCCAGCATAGTCATGCTGGTTGACCAGCATACCAGCATCCAAAACACAACATAAGCTGTTTTTTTATGCTGGTCTGTGCTGTTTTTTGTAGCAGGGCAGCCCCCGACACCCAAACTCCAAACGTAGTTGAGCAGGCAAGACATGTTTAGAGTCTAAAGTTCACTTCTTTAGCTGTAGCACTGAAGATACGAGGCTAATGTAGCTAACAGGTGATGAAAGCTTACACCCCACCAGTTATCATGCAGGCCTAAATCAGCGCCCGGTCTCTTCCCTCAGGCTGTGTGGAGGTGTTCAGTGTCTCTAATAGACTTGATTATGTGGTTCCTGATACTGGAGCTGTGTCCCAATTCAGGGGCTGCATCCTTCGAAGGCTGAACCGAAATGAGACGGTCGGCTCTACGGCGGATTTCCTGTTTGTGTCACAGCACCGCTGTTCCCGCCCTCACCACTGCGTCACGAAACGCCGCTCCTGTCAAGGTCTTTTAAAGCTCTTTAAAGGTGGAGCCAGAAACTTTTTTATTTTTTCATTTATTAGAGCTGGAGATGCTTCTCTCTGTCGGCTCTTTACTCCCTAAAACAAAACAAAAAGTTTTGGCTTCTTTAACATTAGTATTGTTCGCTATTCGACTCCTTTAAACCCAACACTTTCATTTAAAGTGTCTCCTCAGTCGCCGTTCGCTCCTCTGCTGACGCCTCCATGTTCTCGAATCCTCGCCGGCACACAGTGAACCTCGAGATGTTGGCTGGTGAAGGATCCACCCGTTGGATCCTTGGTTTCCATGGAAAAGAAGGACACGTTTCTCAGCCGCTTATGAAGGAGTCTTCGTTATGGGACAGCCTAGTCGCGCCGCTGTGATGCAGTCGGCCTTCAAATGCAGCCTCTGAAGGACGCAGCCCCTGAATTGGGACGCAGCTCATATGACTCACTTTTATCTATAAACATGGACTAAAGTACAGCTTTAAGATGCTACTACTGTCTTTAGCTACGCTAGTGCACACAATCAGGTCTATTAGAGATCACTGAAGAACTCCGCTCGGTTAGAGACAATCGCTTAGGTACACACTTAAAAAAGATGGTTCTCCAAAGGTTCTTTAGTATAGAAAATGTTCTATATAAAACTATGAACCCTCAAAGAATCATTTGCATGGCTCTTCATATTGACGGAGAATGTGCTGTATATGGTTCTATGAAGACCCTGGGCGAAAATGGTTCTATTTACATATTTACATTGCAAAAAATGTTTTTCTTGTCAAGTAAAATGATCTTAAATCTGCTTAATAAATCTAATAAATCTAATATTTCTCCTGTTGAGACTGCTGTAAGCTTATTTTTACTTGTTTATTTGTTTACTTGTAAAATTATCTCACTATATTGGCAGATAATTTTGCTTGCTTTAAGAAATGAGCTTAAAACCAGTAAAACTATCTGCCAGTATAGGGAGATAATTTTACTTGATAATATTACTTAAAACGGTTATAAATGTCTAGATTTAAGCTACATAATCTTATAGTAAGTGGACAACCATCTCAAAAGAAAAAATATGACATAAATCGACTAGAATTAAGACAATTTCACTTGACGAGATACTATTTTTTGCAGTGTAGCACCAACAGAGGTTCTTCTATTGTGTACAAGCTTGACATCATAACAGCAGCAGAGCTTTAATCATGCGAAGGGACTGTTCACGGGTTCTATATAGAACCTTTTTCTTTACTAAAGAGCTCTTGAAGAACAGTCTTTTTAAGAGCGCATGATGCTGGCATGATGCTAAACTGGTTGCTAAAAGACTCCATTACCTGTTAGCTGTGTTAGCCTCGTCGCTTCACTGCTAAAACTAAAGAAGCAAAACTTCAGACACCCAAACAGCTGATCGACTACGTTTGAGGTAAAAGGAGGGAAAAAGAGGAAATTTGATATTTCGGCTAAAATTTGGCTGTAAATTTTTGAAAAATGCACGGCTAATGCTCTCTCTCACTCTCTCTCTCTGTATCTCTCACTCTCTCTCACTCTCTCTCTCTCTGTATCTCTCTCTCACTCTCTCTCTGTATCTCTCACTCTCTCTCTCTCTGTATCTCTCTCTCACTCTCTCTCTGTATCTCTCTCTCACTCTCTCTCTGTATCTCTCACTCTCTCTCTGTATCTCTCTCACTCTCTCTCTCTGTATCTCTCACTCTCTCTCACTCTCTCTCTGTATCTCTCACTCTCTCTCTCTCTGTATCTCTCTCTCACTCTCTCTCTGTATCTCTCACTCTCTCTCTGTATCTCTCTCTCTGTATCTCTCTCACTCTCTCTCTCTGTATCTCTCACTCTCTCTCACTCTCTCTCTGTATCTCTCACTCTCTCTCTCTCTGTGTATCTCTCTGTCTCTCTCTCTGTATCTCTCACTCTCTCTCTCTCTGTATCTCTCTCTCTGTATCTCTCTGTTTGTCTCTTCCTCTGTCTTTATCTCTCTCTGTATCTCTCTCTCTCTCTCTGTCTGTCTGTATCACTCTCTGTATCTCTCTCTCTCTCTCTCTCTCTCTCTCTCATGTCTGTCTGTATCACTCTCTGTATCTCTCTCTCTCTCTCTCTCTCTCTCTCTCTCTCTCTGTCTGTCTGTATCACTCTGTATCTCTCTTTCTCTCTCTGTCTGTATCACTCTCTATCTGTATCACTCTCTGTATCTCTCTCTCTCTCTCTCTCTCTCTGTCTGTCTGTCTGTATTACTCTCTGTATCTCTCTCTCTCTCTCTCTCCGTAGAATGCCGGGTGATGAAGACCCCTAAAGGCCAGAGAGGTTCTGCTAAGAGTCCCGGTCCCGTCCGCCGCAGCAAATCTCCCGCCGAGTCCAGTGAGAACGTTATTATGTGATAAACACAAACTCTACACTAAACCAACTCTACACTAATTCTACACAGATCCTGCCCTGAGCCGAGTTTCACACGCAGATTTATTCACCACACACATCCCGCCCAACTCTATGCTACACGCTAAGTATGCTAACACTCCTCACTACACTGGCAGATGATTTTACCTACGAGAAGGTACTTTTAAGAAATCTGCTCAAAACAAGCAAAATGATCTATGTAGCGAGATAATATTACTTAACAAAATGACTTCAAACAGGTATAACACATCTACAAATCCGTTATATAATCTCATAATATTTCTATGACATCTCAAAATGAGAAGCATCACATATTTAGATATATAGATATTTAAGATGAGTTCAATTGTTCTGATTTTTTTGCAGTGTAGTTTTGTTTTATCTTGATTTCCTTTGAGTGTTTCTGAGTGAAATGCTGGTCGAATCTCTCAGACGTTCGGTTTGTGTCCTCTTTGTGCAGAAAAATAGTTTTTTAATTACAGAAAAATTAAAAGAACTGCTTGTCCTTCAGTTGAGGTTTTAATCGGAGCTGATTGTGAAAAGCCAAACTCTGTAATTGCTGGTCTTTCATCATTGTGTCTCGATTGCAAACTAAACACTAACGAGTGGTGAACATTCACTATTAGAGATCGGACTTCAGCTCAGGACCTGATGTCAAAAACACCTCTACAATAGTGCTAATTTCTGCTAGCGGCCCTATGGGCTTCTAGTTAATATGTTAGCTCTAAGCTAACACCATTTCACATGAACATATTATGACCCTTCTAGATTAAACTTGGTAAACCTCAAAGTTTCACAGTGACTCTTTCAGTAAAGAGTTCTGGAATAGAGCCGCCGCCACTGTTTTCCATTCCTAACAACTACCCGGAACACTGCTTAGACTACGGCTCGTATTCACAGTCAGTGATGTGTTTAGACCCTCCAGATGCTTCTTCTCTCTAAATTAGCCCCACTGTAAATGAAAGCTTGATGGGCTGATTCCTCTGTCAGTTCAGAAGATATTTCTTCAAGGGTTCTTTTGTAAAGACAGTGGTTCTATGTAGGGTTCTACACATATGAGTTCAATATGTTGACACTCAAAGAACCATTTGCAGGACTAAATAGTTCTTTGCATCAAGAGAGCGTTCTTCAGATTGATGGAGAATGTGTAATGGTACAGCGTCAAGCTTGTAACAATAGAAGAACCCTTTTTGGTGCTACAAAGAGCCCTTTTCAAAAGGGTTCTATAATAGAACCATGTACAGCACATTCTCCATCAGTCTGAAGAACGCTATCTTGATGCAAACAACTGTTTAACCATGCAAAGAGTTCTTTGAGTGTGTATGGTTCTACATAGAACCATTTTCTTTACTAAAGAACCCTTGAAGAACCATCTGTTTAAGATGTGTGGCTGATGTAACTCAGCATGGTGGATCATTTGTTGCCCTGTCCAGTTCTGCCCAGTTTGGATTAGACAACACAGTCCAGCTCAGCAGTGCAGCGTTTAAAACTCAGCGTTACGGAGCGACTCTAAACTCCGCCCTCCTCCATTAATCCTCATGAGGGTTAATGGATTTTTACCAGCGCTCTGTGGGCGGAGCCTAGAATAGATCAATCAAGACGCATCAACAGAGTGTTTATAATCCTCTGGGACGCAGACCAAACAGACAGATTTTGGATGAGCGAGAGAGAGAGAGAGAGAGAGAGAGAGAGAGAGAGAGAGGGGGAGAGAGAGTCAGACAGACAGACAGACAGACAGAGAGACAGATGGGAGAGATCAGAGGTGAAAGACATGGAGAAAGATAGATGGAGAGAGAGAGAGAGAGAGAGATAAAAAGAGGGAAAGAGGTGGAAAGACAGACAGATGGGAGAGAGAGTGAGTCAGGCAGAAGGTCTCTCGCCCGTCCCTGGCTGGGTTTTGGGGTTTAATCTGAGTGGACAGTTTGTCACTTTGGGTTGTTTCACCTGATTAATATTTCAGAGATCAAGGACGAGTCCTTTAGAGAAACATATGGACGAGAGACACACAGAGAGAGACACAGAGAGAGAGCGAGAGAGCGAGAGAGAAAGAGAGAGAGAGAGAGAGAGAGAGAGAATTAAAAATCATAAATAAAATGACATTTGTTCACTTTTACGGCAAAAAGCATCATATAAATGTCTGTTCATCTGTTTTATTTTATTTTATTTTATTTGTTTTTGTTTGTTTTATTTTATTTTACTTATTTTAAACACTAACCCCTGTCACATTCATTCTGGTTGACTGGACTGTTCATTTAATATCACTTTTTGTCTTTGTCTTCCATCATTTGTCTTTATGTCCATTTCTGTCCATGTAGACTTTCTCGCACGTCTGATCTTTTAAAATAAAGTGCAATTTTCAGTATTTTATAGCCTGTTGTTTTGTGTAAGAATCACCAACTCACTCACTTCGGCATCACTCACTCACTCACTCACTCACTCACTCACTAACACCCTCCCTCACTCATCAACTCCCTCACTCACTCACTTCAGCATCACTCACTCACTCACTCACTCACTCACTAACACCCTCCCTCACTCATCAACTCCCTCACTCACTCACTTCAGCATCACTCACTCACTCACTCACTAACACCCTCCCTCACTCATCAACTCCCTCACTTACTCACTAACACCCTCCCCCTCACTCATCAACTCCCTCACTCACTCACTTCAGCACCACTCACTCATTCATTCACTAACACCCTCCCTTACTCATCAACTCCCTCACTCACTCACTCACTCACTCACTCACTAACACCCTCCCTCACTCATCAACTCCCTCACTCACTCACTTCAGCATCACTCACTCACTCACTCACTCACTAACACCCTCCCTCACTCATCAACTCCCTCACTTACTCACTCACTCACTAACACTCTCCCGCTCACTCATCAACTCCCTCACTCACTCACTCCAGCACCACTCACTCATTCATTCACTAACACCCTCCCTCACTCATCAACTCCCTCACTAACACCCTCCCCCTCACTCATCAACTCCCTCACTCTCTCACTCCAGCACCACTCACTCATTCATTCACTAACACCCTCCCTCAGTCATCAACTCCCTCACTTACTCACTCACTCACTAACACCCTCCCCCTCACTCATCAACTCCCTCACTCACTCACTTCAGCACCACTCACTCATTCATTCACTAACACCCTCCCTCACTCATCAACTCCCTCACTCACTCACTCACTCACTCACTCACTAACACCCTCCCTCACTCATCAACTCCCTCTCTCACTCACTTCAGCATCACTAACTCACTCACTCACTCACTACCTCCCTCACTCACTAACACCCTCCCTCACTCATCAGCTCACTAACTCCCTCACTCACTCACTTCAGCATCACTAACTCATTCACTCACTCACTAACACCCTCCCCCTCACTCATCAACTCCCTCACTCACTCACTTCAACATCACTAACTCACTCACTCACTCACTAACACCCTCCCTCACTCATCAACTCACTCACTCACTCACTCACTCACTAACACCCTCCCCCTCACTCATCAACTCACTCACTCACTCACTAACACCCTCCCCCTCACTCATCAACTCATTCACTCACTCACTTCAACATCACTAACTCACTCACTCACTAACACCCTCCCCCTCACTCATCAACTCACTCACTCACTCACTCACTCACTAACACCCTCCCCCTCACTCATCAACTCACTCACTCACTCACTCACCCACTCACTAACCCCTCCCTCACTCCCTCAGTGTGTCTGTCCATCATCCTCAATGAAAACTGTGGGACTGATAATGAAACGATTTAGATGAAGGATATATATGATGCTGCTTTAACACTATAAGATCCTTATTACACTTATTACAAAAACATGGTTCTTTAAGGGTTCTTTAGCAAAGACCATGGTTCCATATAGTGATGGTGTAATGCATGGTGAAATGGTTCTTCAGATTGATGGAGAATGTGAAAGTGTGTTGTATGTGGTTCTGTACAGAACCTTTTTGAAAATGGTTCAATGTAGCACCCAAAAGATCTGCTGTTGTATACAATTCCAAGCTTGTAACAACAGAAGAACCCTTTTTGATGCTGTATAGAACCACATACTACACATTCTCCATCAATCTGAAGAACCTTTTCGCCTTGCAAAGAACCGCTTCGGCATGCAAATGGTTCTTTGAGTGTTCATGGTTCTATAAAGAACCATTGTCCTTACCCTTGAGGAACCATGTTAGGCAATACTTTTAAGGGATCTAAGAACAGAGAGAGTTTCTTGATCAGGAGCCTGTGTAGACAGCATCCTCCTTTATTCACTTTCTTTTCTTTCTTTCTTCACTTGTTTTCTTCCTTATTTACTTTCTTCTTTCCTTGTTCACTTTTATTCATTCTCACTACATTTGAATTCTATAACTCATTGCTGAGAATTTTTTTTGGAGGTAGTTGTGATATTTGTCCACTAGGTGGAGTAAGATTAGAGTAACTGCCAACACATTGACTCCTGTAACAATACACGAACACTGTAAGGCAAAAAAAAGTATTGATACCATTAAATATATATATATATATATATATATATATATATATATATATATATATATATATATATATATATACCTGTCAGGCATAACATTATGACCACCTCCTTGTTTCTGTTGTGTCTGATCCACTCGTACCAGCGCAACACACACTAACACACCACCACCACATCAGTGTTACTGCAGTGCTGAGAATGATCCACCACCCAAATAGTACCTGCTCTGTGAGGGTCCATGGGGGTCCTGACCACTGAAGAACAGGGTAAAAGGGGGCTAACAAAGTATCAGAGAAACAGATGGACTACAGTCTGTAACTGTAGAACTACAAAGTGCACCTATATAGTAAGTGGAGCTGATAAAATGGACAATGAGCGTAGAAACAAGGACATAATGTTACGCCTGATCGGTATATATATATATATATTTATATATATATATATATATATATATATATATATATATATATATATATATATTTTATTTTATATAGTAAAAATTTAAAGGCCTTTTTTTCTTTCTGCATTTTTTAATCAAATTCATATCATAATAAAATATCTCCTCTTCTGCTTACAAACACTGATGCAGGATGAACTGAGAGTTTAGAATCTGCACTTTGCTTCACTGGTTTCAGAAACAAGTCAGAAATAATAAAAATAAAAATCAAATCAAGCTTTATTGGTCAGACACATTATAACGTGGATTGAAATGCTTATGCGACTGTACGTTGTAGGAATATAAAATAGAAAAACATAGGATAGTGCATATATATATATATATGTATGTTGTTGTCGGAAGAAAACCACGTATCTCCATTTTTGAAAATTCCTGTTGCTCTTTACATTGTCTTTACATATATATATATATATATATATAAGGGGAGGAAGAATACAGAATATAAAAATATAAGAATATAAGTAAAGTGCAGATGTGTGCAAACGAGCAGGAGGTACAAGGCAGTAGAGGAGGAGTTTTAAGGTGGGTAATGGGGAACTCGGAGGGTTAAACAGACATTAGAGGAGGAACTCGGCGTGTTAAAGTGTATTAGAGTACGTTCGTAGTGCTGGCTGTAAATCAGGCTGGGTGTTCGGTTCTCTTGGCGCGTGTTCTGAGGGGTTTTTCGGTCTTTTGTCTGTTCTGTTCCCAGTAGTGCGGTTCCAGACTGCTCTCTGTTCCAGACATGTGTTTATGTTCTTTAAAACAACACAAAACAAAAACAAACCTGGATCAGCATTGACTACCCACAATGCACTCTGAACACCACGCCACATCACACCACTTTCACTCAGAAACACGGTCTCCTAGCAATCCCCGAGACCACCGAGCGCCCCAGTGCGCCAGACAGGGCCGGACCCCCTCAGTACTGACACACACTGCTTACAGACATTCCTGTATTTCTACACTACTCTCTCTCTATCCCTCTCTCTCTCTCTCTCTCTCTCTCCCTCTATGTATATATATATATATATATATATATATATATATATATATATATATACCTCTCTCTCTATACCTCTCTCTCTCTCTCTCTCTCTCTATATATATACATATATATATATATATATATATATATATATATACCTCTCTCTCTATACCTCTCTCTCTCTCTCTCTCTCTATATATATATATATATATATATATATATATATATATATATATACCTCTCTCTCTATACCTCTCTCTCTCTCTCTCTATATATATATATATATATATATATATATACCTCTCTCTCTATACCTCTCTCTCTCTCTCTCTCTATATATATATATATATATATATATATATACCTCTCTCTCTATACCTCTCTCTCTCTCTCTCTTTACTTCTAATTCACTTTTTCTTTGAATTTCTTATTTTTTTCTCTTTTCTGCTCTTTCTCTTTCTCTCTCTCTATTCCTCTCTTTCTATTTCTCTTTCTATTTCTCCCTCTTCTCTTTCTTCCCTCTCTTTTGGCTTTCTCTTTCTCTCTGTCTTTCACACATTCTCTCTCTCTCTCTCTCTCTCTCTCTCTCTCTCTCTCTCTCTCTCTCTCTCTCTCTTCCTATTTATTTTCTTTTCTCATGTCTTTAATTTTTGTCTTCAGTTCTTTCTCTAACCCTTGTGTGGTGTTGATGTGTTTGTTACTCAGTGGTCCGATGGACCCTCCGCATTATTGTTTATTTAAATCAATACAGCCATAACAGTTTATGTAAAAATACTAGATGTTTATAATATCACAAGTGTCCAGCGTAGGGTTCTCCTTTAGCAGCTGTAGCCAGTCAGCAGCCTGTCCATGTTGTCCACCCTCACACACACACACACACTCACTAACAGCAGGCCATGTAGGAGGAGAACAGAGTGAAGGACACAGCACCTCCACACTTTTACTCCCCGCGGGTTCACCCAACACCACATGTGTAATATAAATGTGTGGGGGGTGAACAGAGTGAAGACACTGAAAATGGGTTGTTTTATATGTTCTTCACAGAAAATGAGCAAAGGCCAAGAATCTGAGGCTGAAATATTAATAAATCACATCATTTTTTCTTTTGGTAAACATTGAAAACGGGTCCCACAGACCTGAACACCACACGAGGGCTAAACTTACTGTAATTTTATTCAATTTCTTCAACTTTTCTCTGTCGTAACTGTACTCACTTTTCTCCCCCACCCCCTCTCTCTCTGTAGCTAATGGTACTGGTTCCAGTAGTCAGTTGTCCACTCCCATCTCCAAGCAGTCTCCGATCTCCACCCCGACCAGTCCCGGCAGCACCCGCAAGCAGAAGGTACTCCGTCTGTCTTCCTCCCTCTCTCTGTTTGTCCTGTTACAGGGTTAAAGAACACCGCAGCGCTTCTTCATCCTGATCTCCCTCTGCTTCATCTGTATCGTCAGTACAGCCGTCTGCAGTTTTCCACGTCACCTTTTGCAACCAGTTCAGTTCACTTAGAATCTCAAACCAGGAGGTCCTGGGGGGTTTGGACCCCCTAGTTAACCTCTGAACCCCCTGGATGTCTCAAAAACAAAATTCTGGGGGTCCCTGAAAATAAACTCATTATGAAGCTCAGATTTGTTTATCTGCTTCACCCACAATCAGCTTCTGTCTCTGAGGTTCTTAACTAACTACCGCACTGCTCTGCCTCAGGGTAGCGCTGTAGCAGACTGGTTCACCCAGTTGGTCCTTCATTGCCTAGAAACTGAAACTGTATGATGGTTTCTTCTAGGGTTCTTTAGTAAAGGTTCTATTTAGAACCATGAGTTCTGTATATAACCATTTGCAGGCTTCAATGGTTTGTCACATGGTGAAATAGGTGAGCTGTTCAGATTGATGGAGAATGTGTTCTATATGGTTCTATGTAGCACCAAAAAGTGTTCTTCTATTGTTACGGTGTTAAGCTCGGAACCCTTTTTGGTTCTATACAGAACCATTTTCAAAAAGTTTCAGTACAGAACCATATACAACACTTTCTCCATCTGGTTCTTCAGACTGATGGGGAATGTGCTGTATATGATTCTATGTAGAACTTTTTTGAAAATGGTTCTATATAGCACCAGAAAGGGTTCTTCTATTGCTGAGATGCCAAACTTATATTTAGCACCCCTTTTGGTGCTATACAGAACCGTATGCAGCACATTCTCCATCAGTCTGAAGAACCATTTCACCATGCGAAGAGCCATTTAAGCATGAAATGGTCCTATATAGAACTCATGATTCTTAATAGAACTCTACTAAAGAACCCTTGAAGAACCTTTTTTAAGAGTGTAGTTAAACAAGCTATTGTTCTATTATTTTCTGTGTTCTTTAAAAACTAGTGGTGAGTTTTTCTCCCAACCAAGTCCAATCCTGTAACCTGACCTTTGACCTTTAGGATCTCTATCTGCCCCTCTCTCTGGACGACGACAACGATTCGCTGGGAGAATCCATGTAAGCCCCTCCCACCTCTGCTGAGGCCCGTCGATCCACCTGATCCGCCAATCACAGAGGTACCTCTGGTGTTCTGCGTCTCTGAAACGTCAACATCGCCCCCTAGTGGTGTGGAGGAGTGCACTTTGTCATCCCAGCTGCCCCCCTGGTCAATGGCTTAAGCCCATCAGGCTTTGCAGCAGTGGTCACTGCGCTGTTTGCTGCTTGAGAATTCGTTGCATCCATTTCTGGCACCTTTTCCGGGTTCATTTTCCTCTTTTTTAACGATGTTTGAAACGTTTTTTCTGCGTATGCAGGGCATACGCAGCGATTGTAACCCATCGTGCACAGTGAAAACAACAAACACCCAAATTTTTACGAGCCGTCTGTTAATGTAGTTCATTCTTTTCTGCATTTCTGAAGTGATTTTTTAGCACAATAACAAAAGGAGCTGATATTAAATGTGCCGTTTGTAATATTGATGCATTTCATATCAGTGCAGCTTTTTTGCTAACCGTTCAGTCATCGTCACCTTTAAGCCAAAACCACTAGACTTTTTTCATACTGGTTCTTCGCCGCTTGGTTCTGCGAATTTCCAAGCAGCAAATGGACATTTTTACTAAGGTGTTTTCGTCTGACTTGTACAAAAAAAACCTTATTGCAGCATTTAAACTTTATATTAATCAGTTTTTGTAACCCTCTCTTGTTTGTGCGATGGTTTCGTGTGTTTTACAACCAATCAACAGCCTTGTTTTGGATGGAGTGGGTCAAACACCCCAGTTTTGACCCTCTTCCCACACCTTATAAATAGGATGTACAGTCGTCCTCTCTTTATGTCCCATTCCAAACCGCTTTCGGCCTTTTTCCAGCCCTGCCACACTCTTCCTGCTGTGTCTGTTCAGTGTTTCTCCAACATGTTGATGAAGTTTGAACTGTAACCTGTTGCTTATGGAGCGAAAGAGGGAAACCGTTTGGATGTTTTTGGTGTTTAGCTTAAAAAACGAAATAAAACAAAATAAAAAATGAAATTAACGTTTAAAAAAGAGAGGAAAACTGCCCAGCCAAAGCCATATAATCACAGTCCTTTACAAAAGAAATGAGCACATATGTTTCTGTTTTTTTAAATGGTAGAAAGATTTTAAAAAAGTAACTGAATGGAATCTTTATTGAAATATTGATTTTTTTTCCTGAAAGAGGAAATTTAAGGGCGATTTAAGGTGAACTGTAAGTTGAAACATCTTTCGAAAGCTTTGAAAGCCAAAGTTTTGTTGGACTGAAGGTTTATTGTTGAGTTCCTCCGGTGGTGGTGTACATATAGGCATGAATCAAGCTAGCTAGAAACTCCTTTAAAGAAAATATGAAAAAACAGCCTTGAGCATTTTTACATTTTAGAAAATTTTAGATTTTCTATAATTGAAAACGATGGGGATTTTTTGTTTTAATGCATGGCGGCGTTTTCTCTCTTCAGAGAAGAAACAGAGCTGCAAAAGAATGTCTAATTTTGTCTGACGCTTTGAGTCATAAGTCATACTCAAATTCAACACTGCTGTCTGAATCCAGTCCAGTTTGGAAATGTTTACGAAATGTCAATTTACCAATAAATCCAATTTACAGAAAGTTGTGAGATTCTATCAGTTGAAGCAGCTTTTAGCACTGAAAGACTTGGTTAATCAGATTTTATGCCTGATAATATACATATATTTAAAAAAATGAAAAAAAAAAAAGTCACTCTTCATAGTGTAACGTCACAACGTCCTGTTTCAACACAAACATATGACACAATATTAAAACTGCAAAAAAAAAAGAAAAAATCTGCCCTGAATTCTCGCTCACATTTTTCATACAGTACATTTCAACAGTTGTATTATTATTATTATTATTATTATTATTATTATTACTTATTATATTACTACTACTTTTGCCACCATTAATAGTGGAAGGTGTGAAAGTATCTCACCTCCTGTGGTGCCTTTTTTACACTCTTGTGTTTTTTATATAAACAAAAAAATGAATTAATGAAAGTAAAAACTCCCAGTGTGCACCAGAACTGTTCAACTGTTTGTAAATCTCTCTCTCTCTCTGTCTCTCTCTCTCCTCGTTTCATTTGAAGTGGTGATCATTTTATACATTTTTACATCTGCTACTGCTAGTTTGAAGCTGTTTGCTGGTTTTTGTAGTATTTTAGGCTGATTCTCCTCAAACAGGTGCAGATTTACTCCTTTGGTTTAGGGATGAAATTTCAACTTCCTCTCTGATGATGATGATGATGATGATGATGATGTATTTCTTGCTGTGTCATCGTGACTGTTTCAGTGATGTCATTCTGTGTATTAACTTCTCTCCTTTTTTCAATTAAAATGAGACGTTATTCCACCTCCTGTTTTGACTGTAATCAAATAATATTCATATTTGTGTTGCTTTTCTTTTGGCGTCTGTTCGTTGCTCCATTGCGCAGTACGTCCACCATTTTCCACACGTATTGTTCCATCGTTATGGATATGCAGCCCATATCCATGTGAATAACATAACTGAGTACATTACCCAACATGCACTCATCTGCTTTGTATTTTTAGTTAATAGCGCCGTCTCTCTCAGTTGAAGAGCTCTTGTGGAGGAACCCTGGCCAAGATAGTCATGCATTAACATTAGGGGTGTGAAAAGGTAATCATGCCTGATTCTATTAGAATCAATTATAAATAAATATTTTTTTCCCAGAATATGTTTCCAAATTTAAACTTCCAAAAACAAAAAGTTAGATTTTTTTCATTATCCACTTCCCTGTAATTGTACTAATTTGTAAAGAGTTTTTCCACTTAAAAAAATCTCTGATTAGTACCAAAACATTATAAAAAGAACAAAGCAAAAACTAAATTGAATTGTGGTGAAATAAAAAAATTCATAATACACTGAATAGTTTTAAAGAATTATAATCAGATTCCTGGTGACATTTATGATCAGATTCCTGGTGACATTTATAATCAGATAACTGGTGACATTTTAAATGTCCTGATGCATTTAATAATTTTCAAAAGAATCATAATCGAATTGTGGGAAAGTTTGAGATTTTATGATGAACTGATTAGTTTCCTTAAGAATCAATATCAAATTGATCAAAAGATTTTATGATGCATCAAATATTTTTTAAAGAATTTAAAAAATTAAATTGTGAAATTTGAAATTTCATTATGCAATGTATCGTTTTCGAAATAATCATATTTGAATTGTGGTGTGATTTGAGATTGCATGACGATTTCCTAAAAAAAAATCGTAATCAAGTCTCGGTGAATTTTGAGATTTCATGATGCATCGAACCATTTTCAAAAGTTGAGCTGTTGTAAAAATTTGAAATGTCATGATGTATTGAATCATTTGCTAAAGAATCATAATTGAATGAAGTTGTGGTGAAATTTAAAATGCTCTGAATCATTTTCAAGGAAACAATCAAATTGTGGTGTAATTTGAGATTTCATAACAAACTGAATCGCTTCCTAAAGAATCATAATCCAATCGAATCTTGGTGAAATTTGAAATTTCGTGATGCATCAAATCAGTTTAAGTCACTTTAAGGTCAGAAATGTCCACTTCTAATGGTCCTAATTAATGAAGCGTCTGTAATGCAGAGTTAAGGGTTATCGTTCCCTGGCGGATCTGTGAACAGAGTTATCCCTCTTTCTTTTGCTGAAGAGATGGAAATTCCCTCGTTTAGACGCCCCTGTTCTCTCCTAATGAAGGGTTTGAAGCTGCGAGGCTGAACTGAGTTGAATTAATTACCGGCTGCTTGTTCTCTGACAGCAGGACAGAGGCGGGCGTCTCTGGCTGCTCTTAAAAGCGTTTCTAAGCAAATGAAGAGACAGTTGCGAGTTTATTTATTGTCATTGTTTTGTATGAGGGAAAGATTTAAAAGCCTATGTTTGGTCGTCACAGCAACCAAATGAAGGCTTTCTAGTGCCATCATACCTGGGTTTAATGCGGTTACTGGAATGTATGTGCATGTCGGGTGGAGTCCCTTCTTCCCAGAAGAATAGATATGGCACTAAACCATTAACCAAGAGAGAGAGAGAGAGAGAGAGAGAGAGAGGCTGCCAGAGACAAAAGAGAGGAAATAAAAGCAACAGAAAAAGCTTCTATTACTATTCCAATCATGAGTCTGTCACCATTTAGTCCCCTGCTCCCACCCCGGCGGTTGCCACGGAAACACAGACATCCAACTCAGCGGCAAACATCAAATCAACTTAGCCGTCTGAGAATTAATTACCCTGAAGGTGACTGGAGACGAGAAAGCCCCACATTAGCTCCCCGAGAGGGGCAAATTTCCAAAATCAGCAACGGCAAATACTTTAACTCAGCAGCTCAGCCTTAAAAACCCACCGCTGACTATTTCACAGGTGAAAATAAACAAATATTCAAAATATCCAGACTGCTTGAGGTGCTCATGCTCCGATGACTGACCGTGTAGAGCTGGTGTCACTTAAATCCATTACAGGTTTAGCGATTAAAGGGTTAAAAGTGAAGCTGTGCTGTGGTGGGTCAGAGTAATGCCGTAAGTTAGAAGTGCACTGAGACAATCGTGATGATGTAAAGCATTTATAAGACACATACAATGCAAAAAGAGCTCTGTCGCCTCAAACATGTTTAAAAAAGACTCACTCCAGAAGGCTGACTGTGTGCAAGGGGGCGTCCACACTTTAACGGACCAGCGAGCGCATCATGGACCACTGTCCACTGTACTGAACCTCTCAGAGTCAAAAAACACTGGTCTAAGATCAGTTTTTGGCCTTTTCACCCTAAAAAGCCCAGCCGGATAAGTTTAAGAACACTGTAGACAGCAGGGTTAATGCTAACACTACAACTTGGGGGGGCGATATGGAAAAAGTTTCAGAGACCACCTTTCATTTCTTTAATTTCCAGTCGAAAGCAGCCAAGAACACGTTCTTCACTTTTCAGGAGGTATTTGTTTAGGAGATTAGATGTAAGACTAGAATAGTGGATTGCACCTTAAGCGATTTGAGACCGGTTGCTAAGGTGTTGCCATGGTATTTTGCATGGTTGCTAGGGTGCTGCTAGGATGCTTCTATGGTATCCAAGGTAGTTGCTATGGTGCTGTTAGCTAGATGCTATGACATCCCAGGTGGGTGCTAAGGTGTTGCAAGACGGTTGCTATGGTATCCTAGGTGGTTGCAATGTGTTTGCTAAGATGTTGCTACGGTATCCAAAGAAGTCAGAAGAAAATATGTGGATAAACAGGAATTAAAAGCTCCAGAGAAAATGTGTCTCCTAGCAACCACCTGGAAGAGCTGGTAGACCCCAAAACTGCCCCCAACAGATAAACAGCACTTAAAGCTTTCATCTCTGAGAGAGAGGAGAAAATCAAGCTGCTTCAGATCTGAAAACATCCACAGGTGTTTCTGTCCATCCTTCCACTGTGAGAAGACGACTCAGCGCTGTGGGTCTGAAAGGAGGTGTAGCTGATAAAGAAGAACCTCACTGAGAAAAGGAGACGGACACATCAAACAAAGAAGCTGAGCAATGGATTGACCACCCCAGAGTCCAGACCTCAACACCACTGAATGTGTTTGATTACTTCAGAAAATCATCAACCAGCTTCTAAGACTGAACTTTGGAGGTGTGTCTGCAGATTCTTTGAGGAGCTGAAAGTGAGTCTCCTGAAAAGAATGGATTCTGCTTCTTTCCTCGTGCTGAAAAATGAATAACTTGATGGCTGTTTTGACTGGACATTAAATAAATGAAGGGTGGTCTCCAGCACAGTACAGTACTACCAAAAACTATGAGGACAAATAAAGAGTTTAATTACAAAAAGCTGTATATCCGTTTATAACAATTTTGGATGTAAAGAGAAAAGAATAAGAGCTGACATATAATGGAAATCATTTATATCTCTCATATTTATGATATTAATCATCATCTAGCATTGATATTTCTTAAAATTCTTAAGATTTCTTAAAATTCATGAGGTTGCTTTTAATGCTTTGCTTTGGAATGAAACCTTAGTGGATCAGCTTCTTTGATATATTGACGATATGCTCAGAAAAGCAAACTGTAACATAATTAATCACAATAACAATAAATATCATCATACTGCCCACCCTTAACTAAAACGTGGGGTCCACACTGAAACCCCGAGAATTCTGCTGTCCCCTGACTCACGTAGTGAAGAAAAAGTGTAGCATCTCATTTTCTGGAGCAGCATTTTGGACCACATAGTGTTGGAGGTCTGTTCCTGGACCTGCTGCTGTATTTTGAGATGATTTGTGAAGACCACCTCAGAGTAGAACGTCATCCACCAGCATCCAGTGTTCTAAAATCTGAGAGGTTTCATGCAGAGGAACCCTGATTTGTAGGGGCTTCTCTTCTACCAGCTCTTTTGTACAGCCTAGCCGAGCCTAGCATTTTCTATTCGACTCTACTCTCAGGCCATTTAGACGTTATCAGCTGTTGTAAACCAGCTCTTGGTGCTTCATTTGGTGCTAAAGAGTACATTTATGGGGCTCTGCAGGCCTGGATACACCAAGAAACACTCCCATAGTACCTCAGAGACGCTTAGCAAAGTCAGTTGGACACTGTAATGAACTAATAGTTTGGCAGAAAAATGATCTTTACACTGTTTTCCTCCCGAAATTTTGTCGATCAGCCAAGTCATGTAAGTTTGAGCACTGGAGCTACGAGGCTAATGTAGCTAACCAGTAATGGATGCCTATGCTAACACCAATTAGCATGGGGCTAACATCACAAAGTGTGTGGAGTGGTTCAGGATCTGGTTTCGGACTCACTGTAGTCTATAAACATGGACTAAAGTTTCGCTCTTAGAAAAGATGGTTCTTCAAGGGTTCCTTACTAAAGCTAATGGTTTTATATGGAACCATGAACCCTCAGAGAACCATTTGCTTGCTTAAATTTTTCTTTGCATGGTCAAACGGGCCTTCAGATTGACAGAGAACAGGCTTCTGTAAGGAGAACCCCTTTTGGTGCATGTAGAACCATTTTCAAAAAGGTTCTATATGCAACCATAGACACATTCTCCATCAATCTGAAGAACCACCTGATCATGCAAAGAACAATTTAAGCATGCAAATGGTTCTTTGAGTGTTCATGGTGCTATGTACAACCATTGTCTTTACTAAAGAACCCTTAAAGAACCATCTTTTTTGAAGCGTACATTATTATAGCTGAACACAGTAGCAGTGCTGATCTAAAAGCCTGAATTTTGTCCTAAGAAGTGATCTTCAGACACCAAACATGTCTTGGCTAACTGACTAAATTTTGGATAAACTCTGGATTTTCTCTGCCGAACTATTTCTTGAAATAAAAGTGGTTCTACCACGGCAATAAACCAGACGGAAGAATTTAGTCCTGAT